AACATACTTTTGGAGACGCCCTGTCCATCGCAAACAAATGAGGAAAGGGCTAGCTTCCCATTATTCCCCAGTCTTGAGAGTCCAGACAGGATCCATCTCCTCTGCCCTATCCATCTGCTGGGTAGAGCAAAGAAGACCACCTTTCAGCTCCTGGCATTTAGAGTGGGGAACCCACTCCTGGATTTTAAAGTGGAGAGTTTTTCTAAGCTGTTTTTTCCCCTATCAATGGTGTCCATCACGTACACGTTGTGGGAGCAGCCTGAGAGCAAAGCAGACAGTCTATGTGGGTTGTATGAAGCCCACGCCATTCCCACTTGTTTGAAAGAAACAGTGGCAAAGCCAATTAAGGACTCCCTCAACACCACACCAGATTTGAACAGAACAGAAATCCCTGTGTTGCCATCTGTTCCCCTCAGGCAGGGGGGAACAAGAGGATGAAAATGGGAAACACTTCTGCTTCTCAACTTCACTGCTTCACCCTGGGTAGTCCAAGGGAAAGGTGTTACACTGACAGCTGGCCAGGTTTAGGTTGGGTGATGGAGAGGGATAAATAAAAGGCAGTTGACAGTGATCAGGGTGTGCATTACCATCCTGTCCATGCCATGGAAGTTATTTTCCAGAAATGGCTGCAATCTTTGGTTTCTTCTTTAGAAAATGGGTGCATGCATTAATCTTATGGCACACACTCATTTCAAGTATGCACATTCTTGCTCCACATGTGGTGTCTGGTGGTTTGAGGGTTGGCCTAAAGGCTAGAGAGGCCCACATTCAAATTCTCCAGACACTTAAATCTTGAACATTTGTGCTCCCCAAGGCAAACCTAAACTCACAGGCATGTTGTAAGGATACACTTGGCTGGGGAGAGCCATGTCTAGTCTTCTAAATTCTTTGAGAAAAGGAGAGAGTGGGAATGTAATGAAATCCTCACAAATGACCAAAACAAGCCACAGTATTAAACTATAATAATAAAATAATAATAATAATAATAATAATAATAATAATAATAATAATAATAATAATAATAGCCAGTCAAGGTGGTCTCAGTGGTGATTGGCACACTGGGTGCCTAAAGATCTTGGCCTGCACTTAAACACAATCAGCCCTGACAAAATTACCATCTGTCAGCCGCAAAAGGCCACCCTACTGGGATCTGCATGCATTATTCGCCGATACATCACATAGTCTTAGACACTTGGGAAGTGTCCAACGTGTGAACCAATACAACAACCAGCACAGTGATCCTGTTTGCTGTGTACTAATCTTGTTGTGTTTCAAATAACAATATATTGCATTGCAATAATTAAAACAATAAAACGGTGCAATAGACATCATAAAAAGATAAGAACATCAATACCCATCAAACAGTAGCCAAATGGAGAAAATGTAGTAGCTATAGCAAGATGTCAGATTGTGTAAACATGACTGCCTTCAAGCTCCTTTTAACATTTTCCCACACAGATTACTAAAAGTTCATTAAAAGTCTTTCACATTGACTAAGTTCATTAAAAGTCATATCCTCAGTGGAACACATGATAAAGATGGCTTAAACCCCAAGGATATATTTAAACGACATTAAAGGACAAAACAGCATTTTTTATTCTAAGATACAGCTCAATTATCTCAGCAGAACTTTTCTCCTAGTAAATATATTTACAAATCTTTACAATACAATCTTACATATATTTACTTAGACCTAAATTCAACTTAGTTTATGTAGACTTAGCTTCTAATTCCATGGGCAGAGAACTGCAACTCCCAAGTTAAACTTGACTTGCACCTTTCAGTGAAGGCTTGTTGCACAGCATCATGGTTTCCCCCTATTTATTTTTAATCTGATTTTTGGGAGCAAGGATAGCATTGGTAGGCAGGCTTGTCACTTGAAGACAATGAGTATGGAATTCATCCGCTGAGTGCCAGAAAGTGCCAGTTTTATTTCATTTCCATCAAATAATCTTTTTATTTGCTCCATTACCTTTCCTGAACCTAGTTTATTTGCATTTCCTAACTGAAACCCCATAGTTATTCTGAGATTGTTCAATTTTAACTTAATGCATAATTCAATTACCAGTATAGAGGACAGTCCTTCAAAAAGGAAAGTGGCAACGTGATTTCCAAATTAAATTACTGGTCTCCAAAACAGAAAGCCAACTGCAAAATGTGACAGACAATACCACCTTTGCTGCCTGCTATGTCCAACAGTGGCAGAAAACCAAAGCACAGAATTATGAGTAATTACAACATTGGCTGCCTGGTGCCAAGTGGTGCTTTTAAAAAGAGGGCATGGAAAACAGAGACAGCAGGCTCTGTTGACATCAGGCACCAGTCTGATAACAAGACACACTGGATGACTTCCAACAGTATGAAACACGAATAAAATTTATTTATTCTGCATGCATGAATGTCATATGCCTCCTTATTTGTATCTGTATTCTGGTTTGTTTATGTACCATCAAATCATTTTTGACTTTCAGCAATCTTAAGGCAAACATATTACGAGGTTTCCTTTGAAGACTTTCCTTGGAGGATAAAAGTGTGACCTGCCCAAGGTTACCTAGTGGGTTTCCATACCTGAGCAGGGATTTGAACCCCCATCTCCCAGTATCCTACTCCAACACTCAAGCCAATACATTATGCTGGCTCGCTACCTGCACTCTCAAAACAAGGAATACCTGCCAACCTAGTAAAATAACATGCATAAGAAAATATTAAATGATGTATTTCAAAACACAAGAGCAACATTCAATTATTTTTATGCATATGCCTCTTAATGAGTTTCCATCAGAAATCCTTAACATGTAGCAAAATTAACCTCGGCCTTTCTTGATGCAAAACCACTCCTTTATAGTCAATTCTAAGCCCCAGAGAAACAAAAACATTCAGCAAAGATCACTCAGCCTTGCAGAGGTAAAGCCTCATTAATTTTTTTATGAGAAACCAACTTTGCATTTGACACTGTGTGCACTTTTCAGCTGAACATCTGCTTTGCAGGTAGTTCTACTAGTAATATCAATAATGCAAGACTTGTTATCAAGGGCAAATGACACAAGGTGCAGCTTTGCCCCGAATCTATACCTCTCTGCAAGCCTGGCATACTTTTCATGTTGCCAGTGAGACTAGTGCAGTTATATTAACAATATACCTGTTAGACTGAAAGCATTTCTTGAGCTATGGCAAAAATTTAAGAGAAAAACTATTAGTAGAAACAGCCCCCACCTCACCACTAAAGAATCGTAATGCTTCAAACTATTTCAGAGACTTGGGGGCTAAGAAAAGAATAACAAATTGTGCCTGACTATTGCAGTCAACAAAATGCAATGGAATGGAGAATCTGATAAAACAAAATAATCCAGTTCAAATATTCATGTTCAATTTATCTGTAAAAACAATGTATTCTGCGAAATTTATTTCCTCTTCTTTTTTTCAGTGAAAAATCAAGACTTCAGTATCCCAAGGTATCCAGTTAATTGGGCTTCATTCAAAATACAAAGAAGATGCCCTCTATCCTCTAAATTGGTTCATCATTACTGCGACTGGAAAGTTCGCAAATAATTGCTTTCAAAAATTGCTCACATCAACAGTGTAAATTGGGGAAAAAAGAGGTTATGGCGATAAGTTCACCGTTATACTGAACTCTTCTGACATTATACCACTCAGATATAAGTAGTTACTGAAAAGTCTGAACTAAGTGTGCTTGTTAACTGGTTCTCTGGCTCGCAAGAAGTGTTTGGTTCAGTACTAACCCAATAATAGATCTCAAACTCTGTCTCACAACTATCAAATGGATGCCTTAAGTAGAGAATTAATGCCATGAAGAAGATGGGGGTTAAACTCAGACTTACTATTATGCAAATGAAAGGGCTCCTTCTGTTTGTGCAAGGGCCAAAGAGATAGGGTGACATTCAGTCAAGCAAAAAGGGAAGTGTTTTTGTCACTTACTACGTATTCCTCAAGTCCAATGAAAGTGGGAAATCAAACATGCTTTACTTTGCTGTAAGCTGCCCTGAGTCTCCTTGGGGAGATAGGGCAGGCTATAAATAAAGCTTATTATTATTAATTGAAACACAAAAAGATTAGTACACAGCAAACAAGGTCACTCTGTTGGCTGTTGTATTGGATCACACATCGGACACTTCCCAAGTATCGGCGAATAATGTATACAGATCCCAGTAGGGTGGTCTTTTGCAGCTGACAGATGGTAATTTTTGTCAGCACCGATTATGTTTAAGTGCAGGCCAAGGTCTTTAGGCACTGCACCCAGTGTGCCAATCACCACTGGGACCACCTTTACTGGCTTGTGCCGGAGTCTTTATAGTTTGATCTTTAAATCCTCATATCATGTCAACTTTTCCAGTTGTTTCTCTTCAATTCTGCTGTCACTTGGGATTGCGACATCGACGATCCATACTTGGTTTTTTAACACGATTGTGAGGTCAGGAGTATTGTGCTCCAAAACTCTGTCAGTCTGAATTCGGAAGTCCCAGAGTAGTTTGACATGTTCATTTTCTGTAACTTTTTCAGGATTGTGATCCCACCAGTTCTTTGTCACAGGCAGATGGTATTTGTGATACAAGTTCCAATGAAACATCTGAGCAATGGTGTTATGCTTCTGCTTGTATCTGTCTGCGTGATCTTCTTGCAGCAGCTGAGAATGTGATCTATTGTTTCATCTGCTTCCTTGCAGAGTCTACACTTGGGATCTGTCGTCAACTTTTCAATTCTGGCTTTGATGGCATTTGTTTTATTATTATTATTATTATTATTATTATTCTCCACACCCTTTTCTAGCAGGAAAGTCCCATCAACAATTGTAAGTTTTATCTACTAACAAATTCAGTGTCTTGGTCTCAATCTTTTCAATATCAATCATGCACCAAAAGCTCTGAAGAGTTTTTTGCTTTGTTTCACGTATTTTGAAATGGCACCACGCCCTTTGCAGCTCTCAGTAGCATTGAAGACCCGCAGCATAGATTGCTTAATGAATTCAAAAAAGCCACATTTACCTTTTTTGAACTTATGTACCGGAAGCTTCTTAAGCTGATCTTTTTGAAGCCGATTCCTTCTTGCTCTATGCCTGTCCTGGACAAATTTTGTGATCTTGAAAGACAGAGACAGAAATAGAATATGGAAAATTGAGACAAAAAAAGGTGAAGAACAACAACTCAATTTCCTTTGTTCTGAGAATTGCTAATCTAAAGGAGGCATATGCATATTGAGTCATGTAAAAATCATGCCAAAAAGTGGTAATAGGAAACCCACACATCTATATACAAAATACCAACACTCCCATAGCTTTTATGACTTCTCTGAAGTCATAAAAGCTATGAAGTCTGACTTGTATGTTTAGAAGACAACTGGCAAATCAGGCTATTTTCATACTTCTCAAAATTTCTCATACTGGAACTAGAACACAAAAATAAAATATTTGTAACATGGCATTCATGCCATGCAGCAAAATTATAGCCAGGCCTGGTAGTCTTCTACTCAAGGAATTTTATTAGCCTGCCATCCTGTTGTCCTCATTTTAGTAGACTAAGAAGTTTTTACACAAACATCACTTACGGAACTGCCCTTAAACAGAGATGCTTGACTTTCAACATTTTTATAATGTGTTTTAATTATTTCAGTCAATCTTTTCATTTACACTATATCTTGGTACAAGCTGCTATGTTTTACTGAGATATTTTACTATGTTGCAGTCCAATTTTGGTCCTAACCTTGGGATAAAGGCAGAATGTTAAACAAAAACAAACAAAGAGTACAGAATCCAGCAAATGCTTCAGGTGTAATCCCATCACAAGCATTCTATAAGCCTAAATAGGAACAATGAACACACAAGGAATGTGAGTGAGTTAGCTCCAGTTCTCCATGTTTCCATTGCCCTCTCTATACATATAGGGGAACAAACTGAACACAGTTTCTCCTCTATCCATCTAGACTGCCATTTGAGCAAGAACTCTGCTTTCCTAAATTTATCATGTGAGAGCTTCACAAAGCATGCAACCACTTCTCTTCAGACTGTCAATCTTTATGTGAGGAGCGTAATGGTGGTGGAAGGCAGGACTAAGAGAGTCCCTCTATTTGTGTGTGTTTTTATTTTCAGAACCTGAACACCTGAATAGGTTTCACAATCTCAACTTTCAGATGAAAGAGCTGTTTAAAATTATATAGCTAGTCCCTGCAAAGACTTCTTAATGTTAGAGAAGATGGACTGCAAAAAAGGTTTGTTAGGGTTTGCATGGTTATTTATACATCTTTCCTCTGGCCTTCAGAAATTTATCCTAAGTACATCGTTTTATTGCTGATGACCTAAGCTTTCTTTTATTTATTTATTTTTAAATAGGTACATAATGTTCCCCACCTTAATATACTTATGCACTAAGAGCAAAAGTGTTGCTTTCAAAGGTCCAAGATGTGTGTTGTTGTTGCATACCTTCAGGCATTTCTGGTTTATAGCAACCCTAAGATGAACCTATCAGAGAGTGTTCTGGGCAAGATTGCTTCAGAGCGAGTTTGTCTTTTTCTTTCTTTGCACAAAAGCTATATTTGAATATTCAGTTTACTGTGTACACAAACCATGTTAAGAGTCTTTAGGAAGAGCTTGAAGACCTGGCTATTCCGATGTGCCTTTCCAGAATAGGAAAACCCCAGCACTCTGTCCCAGAAGCACCTTATTAGAGTTTAAGATTCTCTGCACATTGCACTTGCCCAGAAAACCAACATACCACCTGTCACACCCAGCACTTTTAATCTGTACCCATCACTTGGCCCTGCCCTGGTTTTTACTGTGTTATGGTGTAATGTTTTGTTGTTATTGCTTTATGTTTTTGATTTGCTTTGAATTGTATTGTTGTTGTTATGCTGTTGTTGTGTTGAGGCCTTGGCCTGTGTAAGCCGCATCGAGTCCTTCGGGAGATGCTAGCGGGGTACAAATAAAGTTTAATAATAATAATAATAATAATAATAATAATAATAATAATTAAGAGTAACAGAGCCAAATCTCAAAATCACACACCTGTTCCCTGCTGTTGTTCACACACAGCACATGGATGCCTGTAAAAACAAGCCATGACCTCTGGGTGTACAGTTGTCCACATCCCCTGGAAGACCATCAACACTCTACAGCTATCCACATCAGGAGGGGCTCATGTGACATATGTGATGCCAAAGGTGGGGTTATGTGGTAGCCTTCTAATTGAACGTTGATGTTGTGGTTTGATTGCCTACATAGGTTTATCACTGAATGTTTAGTGTTCAAACTGAGTTCCTGCATAGGAGTTTAATATTCTACATGTTGGAGAGCTAGCATGGGCTAGTAGTGGTAGTTGGACTGAGGCTTTGGAGACGAGGGTTCAAATCCCTACTCAGCCATGTGACTTGTCCATGGATGAACTTGGGCAATGCAAACTCTCTGAGCCTCAGAGGAAAGCAACAGAAAACCTTATTTGAACAAATCTGATAAGGGAAACCCATGATAGGTTTGCTTCATGAACAATAGTGGCCAATGATGCAACTGCATGGGGAAATTGGCTTGAAATAAAAAGGAACTTCAGTTTTGGAAATATGGAAACACAAACATACTCATTTACGCTACAGTAGAAACATCACATTTGTGAAGAGAAGCCAAGTTTTGTTGCATCTCAAAACTACAGAGAAATTAACAACAAAGAAATTAACAATTAGATTGACAAGTTATGTTCTGTTTCCATCCAAATAAGGAAACAAAAACAAAACCAGTTCAGAATTTTGCAAGTGAAGACACTGTGGTAAAGTGGGGAAACTGCGGTGGATCATGGTTTGTTAATTACAGCTACACGGTTTAGCCATGGTTGTAGAACTACAATTTACAAAATCACTACAAACCACCATGTTTGTGGCTAATCCTTAAACATGGTTAATAGTGGCTTTGTTTCCACAAAACCCTACAAATATTTGAAATTTTCTACTGCAGCTGATACACAGCGGCAAGATTATTACTTTGGCTTGGACACAGCTCCTCCTATATTTTAATCTTCTAATTAATCTTTAATCTCCTATATTTTAATCTTCTAAAAAGCTCCAGGGCTTTTTAGATGACATCAACTACCTAGATCAGTCACAATCTGGTTTCAGGCCTGGTCACGGCACCGAGACAGCCTTGGTCGCCTTGGTGGATGACCTCCGTAGAGAGCTGGACAGGGGGAGTGTGACTCTGTTGGTTCTCTTGGACATCTCAGCGGCTTTCGATACCATCGACCATGGTATCCTTCTGGGACGACTCTCTGGGATGGGTCTCGGGGGCACGGTTTTGTCGTGGCTCCAATCCTTCCTGGAGGGTCGATCCCAGATGGTGAAGCTGGGAGACGCCTGCTCGGCCCCCTGGCCTTTGACCTGTGGGGTCCCGCAAGGCTCTATTCTGTCTCCCATGCTCTTTAACATCTACATGAAACCGCTGGGAGAGGTCATCCGGAGTTTTGGAGCTAGGTGCCACCTCTATGCAGATGACACACAGCTCTACTACTCCTTTCCACCTAATTCCAAGGAGGCCTCTCGGGTGCTGGACGAGTGCCTGGCCGCTGTGTCTATCTGGATGAGGAGGAACAAGCTGAAGATCAATCCCGACAAGACAGAGGTCCTCCTGGTCGATCGTAAACCTGATCGGGGTATAGGGTGGCAACCTGTGCTGGACGAGGTTACACTCCCCCTGAAGTCACAGGTCCGCAGTTTGGGAGTCCTCTTGGATTCAACGCTTACGCTTGAGGCTCCGGCGTCGGCGGTGTCTGGGAGGGCTTTCGTACAACTGAGACTCATGCGCCAACTGCGACCGTACCTCGCGAAGGCGGATCTGGCCGGAGTGGTCCATGCCTTGGTCACCTCCAGATTGGATTACTGCAATGCGCTCTATGTGGGGCTGCCCTTGAAGACGGCTCGGAAGCTCCAACTGGTCCAACGATCAGCAGCCAGGATCGCTAACTGGGGCCCCTTACAAAGAGAGGTCAACCCTCCTGTTCAAGGAGCTCCACTGGCTGCCATTTATTTTCCGAGCCCAATTCAAGGTGCAGGTGCTTACCTACAAAGCCCTAAACGGTTTGGGACCACCCTACCTGCGTGACCGCATCTCCATCTACGAACCCACACGTTCACTTCGGTCATCTGGAGAGGCCCTGCTCGTGATCCCACCGGCGTCGCAAGCGCGCTTGGTGGGGACGCGGGACAGGGCCTTTTCCGTGGTGGCCCCCCGACTCTGGAACACCCTCCCCAAAGACCTTAGATAGGCCCCTACATTGGCTGCCTTCAGAAAGAACTTGAAGACCTGGCTTTTCCGATGCGCCTTCCCAGATTAGGAAATCTCCACCACCAAGTCCCATAAGCACTTTATCAGAACCAATGATTGCTGCACATCGCACATCGCACTTGCCCTAGAAGCCCTATATACACCTCCTGTCACATCAGCACTTTTAATCTTGTACCCATTCTCTGGCCCGGCCCAGTTTTATTGTGTTTTAGTGTATTGTGCCTGTTGTTTATTTTGCTTTATTCTGTTTTTAATTGTTTGATTTGCTTAGATTGTATTGTTATGTTGTGTGTTGAGGCCTCGGCCTGTGTAAGCCGCATCGAATCCTTCGGGAGATGCTAGCGGGGTACAAATAAAGTTTAATAATAATTAATAATAATAATAATAATTATATGAGAAGAATTGAAGTGTGCATTTCCTGTTTGGCGGGGAAGAATGGACACAGCTTCTACAAATTAATCAATATGATGCCAAAGTATCACACAGAAATGAAAAAAATGATTAGCCAAAATAGCTTAGTTATTTAATTTTTAAAAGAATACCTTAAGAAAAAGCATGGGTTTTAGCAATACATTACAACAGCATAAACAGAAACTTTTACATGTGCATGTGTTACACATACACACTCTTACCTTTTTGAATGAGGTGCACAACAGTTTAGACTTACCATAAAAATAACTATTAGGATGAGACAGATTCCTACAATAATTAGGAATGGAATTAGATAATACTCCAAAGGAAGGCTGAACTCTGGGATTAATACAATATGGCCCCTGTGAAGGCAAAAGAGAGGGTGTAAGGTTTAGAAAGGGCTAATCTTTGACATGATACATTTTAGAAATGCAACATTGAGCATTAAGTCAAGAATTTTTGGTCATACAGTCACTCATTATACTGTTAAACCATTATTTAAAAAGTTATAGATCTGTTAAACTGCGTTCAGCAGATTACAGTTCAAGATCCACAGTAGGAGCCAATTAAAAACTTAATTTACAGACAATGCTGACATTTATAACTGTCTCTGGGTCCACTCATTATAAAAAGTATATGGCAAAAAATGCTCATTCTGTACTAAATGACATCATCATCTAGTTGCTAATATGTGAATGTGGGATGAGCCCTGAATGACTGCATCTTGAAACACAATTTTGGTCACAAAGGCTATATGTGGAATTTCTTTCCAGGAGGTACCAAATTCCCAAAAATTGGAAAATGAGTTATAGATGGCAGCACATTGTTGGCTAGGAGTAGAAGATTATGTACTATCAAAATGCATTAAATCACTTTGGTACAGGGCTTGGAAAATTAGATTTCATAGTGAAATAATGTATATCTTTAGCATGTTTTTTTAATTCCTGAAAAATTTGTTCAGATGGATTTGGTACCTTTTGGAAACAAGCTCTACATATACATTTATATACATACACATTTCAGCAAAAGCCACTGTGCAAAGAGCAATTCACCCAATGCTGAAAATAAGAAGCCCAGATAATGCTAGAAATATGTCAACTTGCACTTTTCCATCAATCAGCTGATGATGTAGCAACAGTTATTTTTGGGTGTCTTTTTGTCCTTGAGATTGTAAGGCACAAGGGTTGTATATTACTATTAATAGTCAATAGCAGGCAACAGATATAGAAGTAACTAATTATCTGGTACTATAGCACATACCATATGGCAATGCTGTTATTTCAAAATGGTATATGTGGGGGCAGATCCTCAACCCCACACATTCAAATTGTGGAAAATTTCTATGGAAATACTATCTGTCAAGCTTTAAAATTTCTAATAAGATAAAAAAATTCAAACATAAAAGGCAACTTAAACAGTAAAAAACAGAACTTTGCAAATAAAAGTAGAAGGCTGAGTATACATGCTATACACATTCATCAGAGTTTTAAGAAGTTTCCTTTTTTTGGATTCAGCTTTCAAAATATCCCTTCCACAATGACCAGGGAACTAAAAAAAAAAAAGTAATGCTTCCAAGTTCTCATACTTCTCTGACGGTTTTCTCCATGAATTTAACACATTAGCCTGAAAATCCCATAAAATGGCATCAATAAATCACATTCACAAGTATTTTTCACAGATAGCTTCATGCAGCTCAGTATTTTAATTGTTCATCTACTGCATCAATGGGCAGGAGAAAGTTCCTATGTTTCTTGCAATCTCAGTGCTGCTAGCTTCTGAAGCTGAATAGAATAGCAAGCTATGGAGAAGGACTTGCAATATTTCTGTTCAGGTATGTCTCTTAAAAAAGACTCTCAGATACAGAGTTCCTACATTTACAACTCCAATTTTTGTTGATTATGGTTAACTAAAATATTTAATTCAAAAATCTGCAGTGACAAGTTTTTTCTTCTACCAAAGGTGAAAATAGTTGATAAACCACAATTCAAGAAAAATCCTTTGCAAATAGCCAAAACAGAATGAAAGTTTTCAGTACCCTTTTTCATAGGTGAATTCTTCTTTCAGAGACTTGGCCGATGATTCCCCAATAAAGACAGATGGTATGTCAATCTTTTTTAAAACATCAACTGTTTAAAGAAAGAAAGAAGACTAGGATTAATATGAAATATATGTATGGGTGTGTTGCTCATAACAACTGCTGATGATAAGCAAATTCACAATGAATGGAAGGTGTGTCTCAATACCTCCCTATATTATATAGCTATGTGGTTTATTTTTAGCAGAACATTTTTTGTTGTTTTGTCAACTTGACTTATGATGACCCTATGAACGAAACCTCCAAGTCATCAAGAAGCCTGCCTCAGGTCTGGCAGACTCAGGACCATGGCTTCTTTCGTTGAGTCTATCCACCTGAAATGCTATCTTGACCTTTTGCTACTGATTTCTACTTCAACAACCATTACTGCTTTTTCTAGTGAGTCACGCCTTAACATGTCCAAAGTCCCACAAATTCAGCTTAGCTATCCTATCATTTAGGAAGATTTCAGGGTAGATTTGTTTCAGGACCCATTTACTGTTGTCCCTCCATATTTGCAGTTTCGACTTTTGTGGATTTCATTATTTAGAGATTTGATTTTAAATGTTATTTCTAAGAATATCTAAGTCTTCCACTATGACTCTATTATCACCTTCCTCCAGTCATGCTGGAGGACCTAGATTTCTAGAGGACAATAGGAATCGATGGTCAGCTTACAGAATTGGTTGACTACAGAGTTCAGACATAAAGATTCCTAGAGAGATGTTCTCTCTGAATAAAAATAGAAATTTTTAATTTGCGGTTTTTGTTTTCACGGGGGTCAGCAAATGCAGAAGGATGACTGTATTTGTCTTATTAGCAGTCTACAGTGGTGCTACAGAAAAGATTTAAACACTTCCAAACCAGTATTCAGTAAAAATCTAAAGCAATGCTTCTCAGGCTATTAGATGGGGTCATTGGAATTTTTTTTTCCAGTGTGGCAAAGACCAACACTAAATTTGTGCCCACTGAGTACAGTTGTTTCTTTCTTTTCCAGAAACTTGTTGGGGCCAGTAGCCAGTGGCTCAGGAATAAGCACTGGTCCAGGGACCATTATTTTGCTGTACTTGCTGCATGACATCCTGTACTACCAGCTCCTCTTGTGTGAAACCCTAGTTTTCAAACTATGCTTTATTCAATAGACTACTACTTTGTACTTGTGAGATCTCACCTTCACCTTAGACCTACTTTTCTAACTATCCTTGTTTCAGCACAATATCATTTAAAAAAGCAAACTATAAATTCTCTAAATTCCAGCCTTCTTTTGATATTGTTATGTGGGTTTGCCCTCTTAATGAGAACTAGGTTTTGATGCAGAAAACACTGCCTTGAAGAAAGAAAATCATTTGCAAACAGCACAGAAGTGATACCTGTACTTACTGTCTTGAGATCCCATGCTAAGGAGTTCATCAGAATCAACATTGTGAACTATGGCTGCCTTATAGCCCGCTCTTTGAGCATTCAAAACCTGACAAAGAAACAAAATGGTTGTTAACAAAGTTGTCACACAGAACTGGGATAACAGCCCCTACACAAACACAAAATAGAATAAGTAAAGTAAAAAGATAGCTGATGCTGGCAAATTTGTTGTCGGAAGAATAATATAAGATTAGCCTACAATATATTGTACTTTCTATTTAAAACAGCTTATCGACTGATTTGACCCCAGACATGACATGCTCATACAATAAGAAGACTACAACAGTTTTAGGTCTTACAAGCAATCCTTTTTCAAAACCTTGGGTGAGAGATAAGGCACTGACTCATGATCTGAAAATTATGATGTATTTTTCTTATTAAAAACAGAAGAAAAATAAATTATACAATTAGTTCCTTTAAAAATATTTAAATAAAGAGTCCATTTAGTCTGGGAGGTTTGGATAATGTGGTTTTGCTACATCATGGCAATTCTGTGTTGGATGGTTACCTTTTATTGTTGTTTGAGTGATTACCGATGCATTTTAGTTCCTAGAATAAATAGAAAGCATGTGTAGGTGGGAATTTAATGGAATTATATTAGTGTGGATTCGCTTGATTTGAGGTTGATTTGCTCTGTGACCCAAAGTGATCTGCACTAGATGGATTTTAACCACTGTGAATGCATTCACTAATTGTCTTGTCTTTAATTAACTGGCCACAGGGAGGCAATTTTTATTAGAAAATCCCACATAGAGCAGGGGATCTCATACTCACCCATTTATCAGTGATTTCAACAACCCTCAACCCCCCATGGTAACAATAAGCCCTGGGAAAGAAAGCTCTCACTGGCGTGTTAATTCAGAAGGAACTTTGTTATTGAAAGCTGGTCTTGGACTTACAGCCAAATTAACGCAGCCTTAACTATATTAACAAAAGAACAGTGTCAGTCTCGTGTGTGTATGAATCCTCCCCCCTCCACTTTTTCTATATCACCACATCCTTTTACTACTACTACTACTACTACTACTACTACTGTTATTATTGTTGGAAATAGCACCTTCTACAAGCCTCCTATACTAGGTATTGTTACGTATATAATTCAGATTGCTTACCATATTGTATATGTGTGTATTGGTATGCAATTTTCCTTAACTCTATGGTATGAGAGGGGCTACACACCACATGACCAGATCTGGGACTATTTAGGACTCATACTCCATTTTAGAAAGAAAGAAGCCATTAGACTTTCAATACAGAAACAGTACAGTTTAGAAGTCAGTAAAAAACAACATGCTTTTAGAAAACTGTACAAACAGAATGCTTTAGAGCAGTGGTTCTCAACCTGTGGGTCCACAGGTGTTCTAGCCTACAACCCCAAAAATCCCAGCCAGTTTACCAGGCTGACTCAAGCAAGTTTTTAACTCTTCTCGGGGAGATTCCTGGTTTTTCCAAATGGTAATGAATGCCATTTTCCAAAAGGTTATGGTATAATCTTTCCAAAAATCATTATATTTATTTACACCCTGCTTAATCTCCCCCAAAGGGGACACAAAGTGGCTATCATCTTACCTGACATTTTATCAAAAACTGTTGCAGTGAAAATGCATGCTTCAAGCTAATTCTTAAAAAGTTATAAACAGAAATATCAACCTCTCTACTGGCACAAGATAGGCATCTATAATTGGGTAAATTGCGGTACTCCAGATGTTATATTGGAGCCACCATGATCCATCATCGCATGTGATGTTCAGTTGTCGTTCTTTGGTAACATTTGTTCAGGGGAAGTTTGCCATTGCCTTCCTCTGAGAGTATATGACTTGCCCAAGGTCACAGGAGGTTTCTATGGCTGAGCAGCATTTAAATCCTAGTCTCCAAGAGTCCAGGTTCAACACTCAAATTTAGCTTTCCATATGTAAATATAAATATTAAATAGATGACTGTCAAATTTACCATTAGTTTTTACATTAATGCATCAGCAGCAAGATATGCAATGATGTTATTCTTTGTAAAGTTGTTCCATTAGTAGATTCACTATAAATGATTTAGGTTTTTTAGTGGGGAGTAGTATATAAATACTTTAATAAGCTAGTAAATATATAAAATAATATTTCAATTGAAAATACTCAGCAGTGGTGCACAAGCAAAAGCATAATAATAACTTTCTATTAACTAGAAAAGACAAGTTTTATAAAATGAAAATAAACCCTAAACCGGCAGGTAGGCAAGCACAAAAGGGACTTATCTCCCCCATTTTCTGTTAGTGTATTTCCAGAATATAAAGCATGTCACTGAATTCTTCAGGAAACCAGATCCCATACACTTTCCTATGAGGAGCGGCTTAAAGAGCTGGGCATATTTAGCCTGAAGAAGAGAAGGCTGAGAGGATACATGATAGCCATGTATAAATATGTGAGAGGAAGTCATAGGGAGGATGGAGCAAACTTGTTTTCTGTTGCCCTGGAGACTAGGATACAGAACAATGGCTTCAAACTACAAGAAAGGAGATTCCATATGAACATTAGGAAGAACGTCCTGACTGTGAAAGCTGTTCAGCAGTGGAACAGACCAACATTCACCCCACAACACAATGCTGGATAACTTAAAAAACAAAAATTAAATATTATGTAAACAAGAACAGTGCAAGCAAAACTGGTTCTTCATTATCATAAACAACTACATGATTATTATTATTATTACGCTAAGCTGAAGTACTTCCTAGGTTCCTATGCTCTCTGTTTTCTTTCCCTCCTCCATCTTCCCCTCAGGGTTCTTTCTAGTAGTATCTCACTGAGATTTTGTTGCCCGGTTTAAATGTCAAGAATGTTAAAAACAGTGCTTCTCTCTCTTTCACTGCCTTTCTCCTCCTACCATCGGTATCTTCGAAGTAGTGTTTCAGAGAACTCTGTCCTGTTTTCTAGACAATTTTAAACATATTTCACAATAAGCTATGGCAGGTCTGCTTTTTCTGCTCCTAAGAAGCTCCCCAATTTGACATTTCAGCATTGCTATAGGCTTTGAGATCTGAACAAGGACCAAAAACATTCTGCCATATTTTGAGGCATCTTGAGCAGTGTCTCAACTAAACAGGACTTTTCCCTTCTTTCTCTGAGGAACAATTTTAACTTTTTCCATCTCTATATGCTTCACATCAGTTTCTTATTTCTATTAAGTCTGAAACAATCTGGTGGTTTACAAAAGTACAAGCTGAAAGAATATATACTTTACTGGTTGCTAGGAATTGTGAGGGTTGAAGTCCAAAACACTTGGAGGGCTGAAGTTTCCCCATGCCTGCTTTAAAGACCACAGGGATCTTTTATCTTTTCTACATGCTAGTTCATAGCCTAAAAAAGTTTGGCATAGTTTCCATAACTAACAGAGTAGTAATAAAGTCAGTAAGAACTATTTAGAAATCAGGAGTCCCTGAGTTGCAGACTCAAAACTTGAAGTGTAAGCATCACTGGCACTCATAAGAGTCCTAAAAAGTATGAAAAAATAAAGACGTTTCCTCTAGCAATCAAAAGGTTGTCATTAATTTAATAATAAAATTCAAAGACAGTTCAAAGGATCTGAAATAACAACTTAAAAGCACAATGAAGTTAAAATTAAGTGCCACACAAGTCTGCCTAGAAACAACACTTCACTGCTGTAGCATCACAACAACCAGAACCCTATCTTTCATTTAGTATCCAAAGTTTTGGATCTCCAAATGTGAGCTACAATTTCACTGGCCCTAACTAACACACCCAGTGATGAGGAATATTGGATGGTGGCTTCCACATCATTGAGACAAGGAATCTGCTCTAGGTTTAAAGAATCTACCCAGGATGTTAAACCTAATATTCAAGGGTTCATAGCATAAGAGTTCCCTTAAAGTTCAAAAAACTCAAGAGTGGATTCATGAGCCTTGTGACATGGGAACCATCCAACAGTACCAGTTACAGCCCAGCATTATACGGAAAGCCACACTGTGTCCACCACCAATCTAAAGGAAGTGGAATTTTAAGAAACTTTAGAAGATAGTCTTCCACACTTTTTCAGGTTGAGGCAGAAGAAGGTAGCTCTTCAGGATTTTTCCAATTCCTGCAAATTGTTGGTATATGTTCACTTTTGTTGGTCAGTGTTCAGTTGTCTGATTGTCTTTGCTGCTTGTGTAAATTTAAATTGGGTTTTGTCTTTTGGTTTATGTTATTTTATATTTTGATACAACATGGAATGTTTGCCTCTCTATATTTTGTAAGCTGCCCTGAGTCCCCACTAGGGAGATAGGGTGGGATAGAAATAAAGTCTCATTCATTCATTCATTCATTCATTCATTCAAAAGCAAGATCTGTTGAGCTTAGGGTTCAAAAACCAAATAATTTCCCAATTTTATTTTCTAAACAGATGTGAAGTATTTCATCAAGAGATTCAAAGAGCACTCAACTCATGCTGTGAGAAACTGGGCATTGCCTTTAAGAAGGAAAACATGCAGATTCCCATTAAAGAATTACCAGATTAAAGTGATCCCCAACAACTTTAGTATACATTATTCTTACTCAAGTGTATAATTTGCTATTGTTTACTTTGTAAGTGGATAATTTACAGCATGCTGAGGGTTCAGTAAGCATTTATGACACAAATAACCCAACCCTGTTTGCAATTATGCTTTCTAAAACTGATAGAATTTCTTTAGGCATCTGCTGTCTAAGTGCATAAATTAGCAAACTCTGTCCTACATTGGAGCCTCTTCCATTGCAGTAGGTTAACCATACAGCACTTTCTGCAACCCCTGTCCAGGTCACAGCAATTATCTCTCCTGAATGAAACTGGCATTCATATTCCAGTAGCTCTTGTCACTTCAGGCACACAAATTCTCTGGGATACGCATAGGTTATATTTCTGGATGCTGCAAGAAAAATCTGTCATTTGTTGTCATGGCTTATTTTCCCACTGCAGCAAAAGTGTAAACAAAAGAACTAGACCCAGTTTTTCTCATTACTGACTTCAGCTGTGAAATTTTTATGTCTGATATGTCTAATAGTTTCTGGCTTATACAATGGGAGATCTGAA